AAATCAAAAATTCCATATACATCTCAGGTTTCTGGTTGAGACAAATATTTAGATATTGCTGGCTGTATAAAATCGCCGACTTCTTTCGCAAGTTATGACAGATATAAGTATTTAAAATGGTAATCCTTTTGGGGTGAGGTACCAAAAGGGGTTGGCAGATATCTATCATCCTCACAATTGATTTTGCGTTAGAAAAATGTTTAGGTTAGGTTGAAAAGAGGGGCTAAACAATTCGCAATACACTTAAGCCAGTAAGGCCTGTTGTGCGTTATAGACTAAGGGCTTTTTTCGAAAGAAGACGGGCAGTTTACAGTCTGTTTTATTTGAAATTCAGTTGTCTTTACAAAATTTCTTAACTGTTTATATCATTTACCATGATCTGATTAGGTCTGGTATGGAGTCGTTCCCTAAGAATTGGGATCTGATATTTGCAAACGCTGGGCATTGGCAGAGAGAATGTTCCAATGTTTCGTCATCTTCACCGTATGCCCTGCATATGCTGTTATCTACATATCCTATCTTGTACAAGACCGATCTCATTTTTACCCAGTAATAAAAGGTTCTTCGTTTTTATTTCCTTGGGATCGCCACATAAGATTTTTGTGGTTTTCATTACGCCCTCATTGTTGTCCAAGTCTTTAATACTAGACGTGACACATAAGTGGCGAGAGAGTTTGCTATCTTGTTACCTTTAACTCCCTTGTGACCTGGTACCCATACAATGCGTACTACGCCGTGTTGAGAGTAGTTGTTGATTGAATTTATACATTCTTGAAGTCACTGTTTTGGATGTTATAGCTCTTATAGCTGCCTTGCTGTCCGTTAGGGCGTTTACGGTAGCCGATCTCGTCTCGTCTCGGATCCTGATTTCGGATTTTATGATCGTTTTGGTTATTCAAAATTTTGACCTTTGTGGGGGAGGCAACAGAGAAAATGGGTTGATTTCGACAAACTTTTATAAGAGATCTTGCGTTGATGGAAATATTGAGATGTGCCAAGTCTGAATGGAATCGAATGTTAATTTCACGTTTTATGAGTTTCATGGATATTCAAAATTTTAACCCTTTGCCAGAAGGAGTGGACCGATATTTTACATCTCCACACCAGACCTTGAGTTAATAAAAATATTGTGATGTGTATAATTTGAAAACAATTGGAATCTTACATCACATTTTATAAGAATTTCAACCTTTGGTGGGGTTTACCGATTTTGTCCGTCTACGAACACAAACTAGTCTTGGCAATAATATTATAACGTACCAAGTTTGCACCAAATCGGATACTCCCTTCGAGAGTTATCGCACCAGCCAGACAGATAGACAGACATATGGACGGTCGGACGGACATCGGTAGATCGACTTCCACGGAATTGTCATTTATACTCGCAACAGATAAAAATCGTTTTAGTATAAAATTGTCTATATAAGTTCCCCTTTTTGTATGGCTCTACCCGCTTTAGAGGTTTTTTTTTTTTTTTTGAAAACTTAACCGCATTCTAAAACCGATCTTACTCGTAGGTAGGTTGAAGTAGGTTGATAAAATTTTACTCAGATGTGTGTTAGGTCTGCAGGACTTCTGGTATTGAAAATGGGCTATATAGGTCCCATGTAACGGTACCTGCCTACATTCGGTATTTTATTGAGTATAGCGACATTATTATTATATAACGGTACCTCCCTTTATTCGGTATTACATTTTTCAGTGGTATAGTTGCAAATTTCGTATTTGAAGTTCCTAGTGGATACTACAGTCTATGACAGAAAACTGTCTAAGCGGGTCCAGGTCTTCGTATAGCCCCTAAATATCGGTATATATTCGGTATTTTGCTGATTTTAGCTGCATTATTCATGGGAATTTTTTTCAAAATTCATATTTGAAACTCCTAATGAGTGCTACAGCCTGTTACTTAAAAATTTCCTATTTCCTATCATGAATAGACTCACGCTTGAACAACGCTCGTCGTTTTTTCGCCCATTGGGCTCTAGAGAAGTTTGCAAATGACCCATTGTTTTGTCGCAAAATTGTGTTCATCGATTTAGAAATATGAATGACGTTGATCCGGAGGAGATGTGGTTTCAACAGGATTGCGCTACGTGCCATACGGCGAACGCAACCATCGACTTATTGAAATCAAAATTTGGCGATAAATTGATTTCGAGAAGTGGGCCTGTCAATTGACCTCCAAGGTCGTGCGATGTGACACCTCTCGATTATTTTCTGTGTACGTGAAGTCACTGGTTTATGCTGATAAACCAGCAACAATTGACGCCTTGGACGCCAGCATTCTTCGTGTTATTCGTGACATACGGCCAGCAGTGTTCGAAAAAGTGGAAAGTATTGGACGTCCAGAATGCACTTCGTCAAGAACAGCCGCGGTGCCCATATGCCCGAAATCATTTTCAAATGTTAATGTCACGTATTGATCTTTCGAATAAAAAAAAAATTGAGAAATATTTCAAAATGTTTAGGATAGAGCTTTGAAATTTGATAGAGATCTTTGGATTAGATCCAGAATCATTGGTGCAGAAGATGAGTCAGGTAGGGATATCTCTTTATACCCTTTATTTTGGTAACTTTTCGATGCTGGATTTTCCCGGTAATTACTTAATTTTGTCGCACAGTGTAAGTGGTGTTTTATTCAAAATCAACATCGGCCCTAACATTTATGAATTACTTTGTTCTTTTTATACCCTCCACCTTGGAAAGGAGGGTATATTAACTTTGTCATTCCGTTTGTAACATCCTTAAATATTCGTCTTAGACCCCATAAAGTATATATATTCATAATCAGCATAAAATTATAAGTCGATTTAACGATGTCCGTCTGTCTGTCTGTCCGTCTGTCTGTCTGTCTGTCCGTCTGTCTGTCTGTTGAAATCACGATACAGCCCACATTATTTGACGTAGAGCTCCAAAATTTAGCAGAGCTATTTGCATTGTGTCTAGGATGGTTGGTATTGAAAATCAGATATATCGGTCCACGTTCTGGTATAGTCCCCATATAACGGTACCTCCCGATATTCGGTATTTTGATGATTTATGCCACGTTTTTTCACGGATTTGTCTTAAAATTGGTATTTGTAGGTCATAGCAGGTCCCTGAGCGTGTGGCAAAACATTGCATGTATGGGTCCAAAATTTGGTATAGCCCCCATATAACGGTACCTCCAGATATTCGGTAATTTGATGATTTTTGCAACATTTTTTCACGGATTTGTCTGAAAATCGGTATTTGTTGGTCATAATGGCTTCCAGCTCCGGTGGCGAAACATTGCATGTATGGGTCCATGATTTGGTATAGCCCTCATATAACGGTACCTCCCGATATTCGGTATTTTGATGGTTTTTGCCACATTTTTTCACTGATTTGCCTAAAAATTGGTATTTGTGGGTCCTAATGGGTCCTAGTTCGTGTGGCGAAACATTTTAATTATAGGTCCACGTTTTGGTATAGCCCCCATATAACGGGACCTCCCGATATTCGGTAATTTAATGATTTTTGCCACATTTTTTTCACGGATTTGTCTGAAATTTGGTATTTGTTGGTCATAATTGGTTCCAGCTTCGGTGGCGAAACATTGCATGCACGGGTCCATTATTTGATATAGCCCCCATATAAAGATACCTCCCGATATTCGGTATTTTGATGGTTTTTGCCACATTTTTTCACTGATTTGTCTAAAAATTGGTATTTGTGGGCCATAATGGGTCCTAGTTCGTGTGGCGAAACATTGTAATTATAGGTCCACGTTTTGGTGTAGACCCCATATTACGGTACCTCCCCATAATCGGCATTTTAATGGTTTTTGCCACATTTCTTCTAATGTTTATTTTACCCTAAGGTGGAGGGTATTAAAAGTTTGGCCCGGCCGAACTTAATGTTTTTTTACTTGTTTTATAAAAAATATGGGTGTTCCATTAAATGGTCTTCTTTTCTATAAGAAATCTGACTGAAGTCACCTGGTCAGACTACAGGACTCATTGATTTTCTTTAATATTCAAAATAAATTAATTTATTTTTACTTATAACTCCATATTATGACCACCATGGGTCTTCTTTGTCGGTAGTAGATCAACAGGTAACGAAACCCAATAGATAATCTTATGTTCTTAAGTTCACCAAAATTGTATTCTCTTCGAATATTGAAATTTCTCCAAAATAATATCGCTCTCTCCGTTGCCACGACAAATAAACTACGTGCTCTGTGGCGTTTCGGAATAACACCAACAGAGAGAAATCGATCATTCGAATGTCTTGATGTTTCAATTCCAAGAATTCAACGAAAGTATTGAGAATAAGGAAGAAGAAGTATTTTGTCTGGCGTCCAGCCATAAGAAATAAGATGAGCTGATGATGTGCTGCTGCTGCTGACAATCGTGGGCATTCGAAATATATTCTCAGCAATCAGACGATCAGCGATATTCAAAGGAGACGGTTCATTTGGAATTTCGGAAAACGGGCGATCTTGCGATTGTTTTTATTATTTTTAGTGTTGTTGGAGTGTAGTAATTGTTGTTGCATTTTCATGTTTAGTTTTTGGAAAAATAAACAAATTTCCCCAATGGTCGGTGGCATATAGTAACGGTTGTGTCGGATTGCCAATGAGTTTTGAAATATTTACCTTGTCCGTGCATCCCCTTCGGTGTGTGGTTTTTGTGTGAAAATTTCATGAAAAATTCTTAACACAAAGAGAATATGTGAAGAAAAAATTATTGTGGAAGTCCAGAAGAAATATAATCAGAATTATTAAAAGAAAAAAATGTTCTAAACAAATGCTAATTTTCGCCGCAAATGAAGGCCAGCAATAAATTTGTAAAAGCAGATGGAAATATTTTCAATACGAAAAAATATTTATTTAATTAAATATTGTGAAGTGATATGAAATAATGGAAATTTTAACAAGTGGAATTTCAATGGAAAATTAAAAAAAAATTAAATATTTCAAATATTGAAAAAGAAAATGGAAATATAAAAAAATTATTTTTTTTTTAATCAAATCTTTTAAAATTAAATTTGTTTTCCTTGAAGTGCGAAAAAATGGCATCAAGGTCCATGAATTGTGATACCATACGCTCCGAGGCTCTGCATGACCATCTGGGCACCGATATTTGCCTTATCAATTCGGTGAAATGGGAGGTGTCGGCCATGTTTGCCGCACTTTTGTTTTGTATTATTGGCTATATGTTGGTGAAATGGAAAAGTCGGTAAGTGAAATACAACAAAAACAACAACAAAGGCGGACAAACCAAAAATTATTTATATATAAATGTGTTGAGTTCAAAGTGGTCCATTAAAATGTATTTTTAACATTTTGAAATGTTTACCTGTCATGTAAAATACGCAGTAAAGTGTTTAAATAAGAATTTTGGATGGAAGATAGGAAAGCAAAATCTTGTCTATACAGGGTGAGATAAAAAAAAACTACAACAAAGTCAAAGGCCATAATTTTTAATTTTTTTTTTAATTTTATTGGACGAAAGCAAAAATGTCGGAAATAGCATCAAATTTTAGAATAAGTTTAGATTTGTTCGAATTGGTCACCTTTGGTACGAATTATGTCCTCCAAACGGCCAATGAAACACGCTGCCCGAATGTTGTTCTGCGTTATTTTGGCCCATTCCCGGCGAAGCGCTTGCTTGAGGTAATCGACACTTTGGTATTTTTTAGTGCCAACCTTGCTTTCCAAAATACTTCAGACACAATAGTCCAACGGATTGGTATCCGGAGATTTTGGTGGCTATTGTGCCCTGGAAATGAAGCGAGGAACCTCATTTTGTAACCATTCTTGGGTGGCGCGTGCTGAGTCCTGTTGAAATGTCCAAGGTCTGCGGCCAAAATGTTTGCGTGCCCAAGGCTTTAATACACCCTTCACAATATTTTCGCGATAATATTCGGCATTCATTCTGATGCCACGCTCGATTAATACGAGCGGAGAGCGGCCGGCGCTTGAGTTCAGCTGACCTCTTTGGAAAGTGAACACGATCATTTTGTTTGTTTACAAACTGCGGGACAACGAATGTTTTCTCATCGGAGAAAACCAAATTTTAACAGCTGTCGGACGAGTGGCTTAGAAATGACAGCACCCTGTATAATTTGATACGGTACAAACGTGCCGTATTGAAATAACGGTTTTGGACCCTGGGTCTTTCTTGACCAAATCCGTTTCAAGACATTCGGAGTCGATCTAGTGATGTCCGCCCGTCTGTCTGGCTAGCTGGTGTGCACTATAACTCTCGAAGGTAGTATCCGATGTGATCCAAATTTGGTACATGATAATATTATTATCAAACTTAGATCGAGTTCGGGGATGGGCAGTATCGGCCCATTCTTTCTGGTACCTATCAAAAAAAAAAAGAAAGAGAAAAGATAATCCGATTTTGCTCCAAATTTGCAAATCCTAATACTTGTATCAGTGCTAGGTTAGGAGCGAAAATGGACAATATCGGATCACTCCATTGAGTAATTCCCCCACAAAGGGTCAACATATTGAATGATTATAACCCTTATAAAATGTGATGTAAGAGTCCGATGATTAACCCAAGGTCTGGTGTGAAGATGGTAACGATTATAAAATCCGAAACATGCATCCACTTCTCTTCATATTTCACATTTACTAACATAAGATCTGCTGTGAGGATGGGATATATCGGTCCACTCCTACTAGTACCTGTCCCACAAAGGTTCAACGTTTGAATATTCATGATGCTCATAAAACTCGAAATTAACATCAGATTCCATTCAGACTTGGTACATTTCAATGTTTCCATCAACAAAATATCTGTTATAAAGGGGGTAGAGATCGGACCATTTCCTCTGGTACCTCCCCCACAAAGGGTGAAAGTTTTGAATAACCAAAACGATCATAAAATCAAAAATAACTATCCGGTTCTCTTCATATTTCATACATCCCATTATATTTACTAACATAAGATCTGCTGTGAAGATGGGATACATGGGTCCACTCCTTCTGGTACCTCCCCCACAAAGGGTCAGAATTTGGAATATCCATAAAGCTCATAAAACGTGAAATTAACATCCGATTCCATTCAGACTTGGTACATCTCAATATTTCCATCAACATACCATTTCTTCTGGTACCTCCCCCACAATAGGGTTAAAGTTTTGAATAACCAAAACGATTATAAAATACGAAACAAGTATCCAGTTCTATTCATATTTCACATTTAACACAACATTTGCTGTGGAGATGGAATGCATATATCGGTCCACTCCTTCTGGTACCTGCCTAACAATGGATCAAAATTTTTAATTTCCAAGAGGCTTATAAAACGCGAAATTATCGTCCGATTCCATTCAGACTTGGTGCATTGCAATATTTCCACCAACACAAGATTTGTTATAAAAATGGTGGAGATCGGGCCATTACTTCTAGTACTTCTACGACATAGGGCTCAAGATTTTGAAAAAGAAAACGCTCAAAGAAAGCGAAATAAGAATGGGCACCTAGCGGCGAAGAGCAGAAGTAAATCACTACGAAGATAGAAAACAGACGGCTTCGGTATAAAATAAGTTGTCATAGAGTTTTTCGAGGTCCGTAGTCTGTTGAAGGCTGATGGCCTAAGAGAGGTTTAATACGTCCCCTTGGCAATCGTAGCAGTAAATAGTTTTTCGTTGAAGTTAAGAGGGGTTTACAAAGTTCCCTCTAGGATCTGACATCCGAGGAGTTAGTGTGTGTGTTTTCTCTTGTGAGTAAAGTGGGTTTTATAACGTTCCCTTTAATTCTAAGAGGGTTGTTTTACGTCGTTCGAGTTTAGAGGGGTTTCTGACGTTCCCTCACGTATATAGTGTATTGTATGACTATATTTATTTTAGTAGTGGCGTCCTTGTATCGTAAACGCTGTCAATGTCACTGCCATCAATCTTTCGTCATCCCTGTAACGACCTTGGCCTCAGCTTCAAAGTGAGAAAACACGTCGTCACATACCCTAAACGTTTAATACAATAAGACTCTACTACAGACTTGCGTTTTTCCTATTTCTTTTAAATTTAAAGTGCCTCGCTGGTTGTGCCTTAGTGTAGGCTTTAAATGAAGGGTCGGGTTAAGAGAAAACGTATGTGAAATGTAGGGAAAGGCTTGGAAAGGGAGGATATTCTCTACCAGTTTTTGGTTATATCCCTTTATAAAGTTTCAAAAAGCCAATACACGTGTATTCTATTTTTAGTTCCTCAGTCATTGGTTTCTTGTGTTGCGTGTTTTTTGTTGAAAATTTTCGTAAACATTTCGTAGTTTGCAAATTATTTGGCATATAAGTGTTAGGTCAAGGCTTCAAAATCTTTTTGAAATTTGAAATTTTATATTTCCATATCGGTCGTGTAATATTTTAACTGTAAAACTGGTGTACATTTAAGGTACCACATTTTTTGTTTATTTAACTGTAGAAATTTCGAAATTATTTCAACATAAAATGTTCACATGGAATCGAAATAAAATATAAACATTAAAATGACCAAAACCACCATCGAATTGTTTATTTTAAATCTAAATAAAAGAATTCGGCAGCAATTAAGGAATTTATAAACAAGAGAAGAGCTTTTGCAAAAAAGCTTTGGCGTTTTGAAAAATGTTTCTCAAAATGACATGAAAAGTTAGGAAACTCATTGAAAATTATCAATACTTTTTTTTTCGTTCTTTGTGTTGATAGATATGGAATTTTGTTGATTCTATTAGAACACTTTTTTAAGTATTGAACATATAATACAAGCCATTAAATTATTAATGGCAGTTTCTTTCTTATTTTTGAAAAAAAAATATTTATGAGATTTGGAGAAAAAATTAAAATTTTATGAATGCCTTTTATAACTTTTTGGATATTGTTTGGCTTTTGTGGTATTCGGAATAGATAAGTCATAAAAAGTATTTTTATAAAATGAAAACCAAAATACGAACAAATGTTTTCTATTCTTAATTTTAAAAATTAACAATAAAATTTAGTTTGATTTATGTTAGGATATAAATAAACAGAGGACTTATGTTAGGATTATAGAATTAGCATAAAACTTTGATGACATTTTAATGTTTTCTACAAAAAAATGTTTCGGAAGAAGAGGTCGTAGGGTCATTTGAATAAGTTCTATGAGGTTTGCTGTGTTTTATGTTGTCACCCTTGTCTGAATTATTTTGATGAACAACTAACTAGCAACGTTGTGGGAAATAATGTTGGGGTTTGACTGATTCTAAAAAAAACTATGTTCAGCGGTTATTTTATTAAAAGAAATTAGAATTACTATTTTAAGGCACTGACGATATTAAAAATGTAAAAAAAAAAATTAAAAATGATTATTGGCTGTGAAATTAGTTGATAATATTTAGGCCTCAGTCATCCGATATTCCATTCTCCATATCGGGACTTTTTCACAGTTATTAACAAATATTTAAAGGGTTCTGGTTTATTGTTTTATTTTATGGTCCGTTTCTATCTGAAACGCCATTACAACAAGGTTTTTCAAATGTTTGATTATAATGTGGGACGAAATACAATATTTTTATACCCTACAATTCATAGTGGTAAGGGTATTATGCCTTTGGGCATATGTTTGTAACAGGGAGAAAGAAGCGAGATAGACCCCCATAGTTACTGAGGATCTTCATAGAATCACTTTCCGAGTCGATTTATGCGTGTCAGTCCGTCCGTCCGTCTTTCCATGTATTTTTGTGAACATAACGCAGGTCGCATTTATTATCCGATTGAGATGAAATTTTCCAAACAATAGTTGTTTGTCCCAAGGATGAAGCTTATTGAAATTGGAGATAATCGGTAAAAATTTAGATATAGCTCCCATATATATATCTTCGTCCGATTTGTTTTTATTGTGCACCAAACGTGTAATATCATCCCGAATAGTATAGAATTTTGCACATACAACCAAATTAGGCCTGAAAATAAGTATGCCAAATTTGATCAAAATCGGTTCAGATATAGCTATAGCTCCCATATATATGTTTCATCCGATTTGTTATTTTTGTCCTCCGCAGCCATAATATGCACTGTGTAACAACAATATTTGGGAAAATATATCAAATACAGCTCAGAAATACTTTTGCTAAATTTTATCGAGATCGGTTCAGATTTGGATATAGCTCCCATATATGACTTCGTCCGATTTAACTTTGGTTGTGGGATGAAATTTGGTACTTACGACCGAATTGAGTCCAGAAGTTAGTATATCAAATTTGGTGTAGATC